CATAGGTGTATTGTCACATGTATTACACATGTTTCCTGAAAAACTTGTGCAAATCCACCCATTCATTCATCATCCTCTTATCTTTTCTGGATACATGCATATTTTGAGGTGGATGTGGGGTGCTAAGGGACAGAGAAGAAAAAATAAAAAATAATATATAAATATAATTTCATTAAGTTTTCTTTCAGTAGGCAAAGAAAACACCAAATTCCACATAAAATGCTGGCAAGTTCATGCTTTTATCTCTAACACATCTCAAGTTATGTAACAAAACATCTCACACTCTCTTTTACAATGATGGGTCAATGGAGACTGATGTAGGTAAATGTGATGTCATCATAAAAAGGCTAAAACAAAGAGGGCAACATAATGACAAGTGACTACTGACTAGCTTCAACATGGGTTTTTATTGATGACAGATTACTTTTTGTTATTTTTCATGTTTCATTTTCAATTTCATGTTATTATCTTTTAAGTAAGAGTGGCATTTGACATTGGGAGGAGTCAGCCCGGTTTGTGCTGCTTGCCAAACACCGCTATCAACTTGCGGTGATCTGCACGGAGATCTGCACGTCTGTGTCTGCTGCACATATCGTCTGCTTGATCTGCATGCGACTACCTAGTACCTTCATGGATTGCTGTCGTCCCTACATGCTCTCGACACCTTGTTGCTAGTACAGAAGCTCCACAGTCTCCTCTCTGGTCTTTCCTCACCCCTTACTGGCTGCCTGCCCTTCAGCACTACTCACCCCTGCAAGTGCTTGATTGCTGGTGGCGCTAGCTTTAGCTTGCCTTGCTGTGTGTATGTGCTTTATGTGTCTCCTTTACTGTTAAAATGCCCCCACGGAAACGAGGTGTGGGTGTGCGGAATGCTGCCTCCGGTACTTCAAAGCGCAGCACGGGGGGGCCCTCAGCTGGTGCCTCAGCTGGATCAGGTGATGCACCTGCTAATCAGGATGGGAAGCAACAGTGTGGTTCATGCTCCATGGAGGTGCTGGATGGGTGCATAGGATGTGATCACTGTGAGGCATGGGTGCATGGTACAGAAATGTGTGCAGGTTTGCCAGTCAAGGTGATTGATGCCATTCTCGAGCATGATGGCCAGGGTATCAGTTATTTTTGCCTGAAGTGCCGTATTACACGAGCCGCTGAAATGGGTAAATCCTCATCCAAGCACCAGGATGATCTTTTGTCTGGAACCCTTGCTCAGATCTTCCAACAGATGCAGGGCCTATGCTCTGCCGTTGCTGAACTGACAGCACAAGTCAAAGCCCTATCTTCAGCTCCTCGTCCAACTGCCCCGACCTCTGTGACAACATCAACTGACACACGCTCCAGTACCACACAGAACACGTATGCTGCCGCACTGACTGGACATTCTGGCACTATCACTTCAAGCCCACAATCCACAGAATACAGACAAATAGTGAGACAGGAACTGCGTGAGTTGCATGAACGAGAGAAACGTAAGGATTCTGTGGTCATCCATGGCCTCAAATCTACCTCTACCAGGGCTGTAAACTCTGAGTTCGGAGAAATGACCCGTAGGATGATGGGGAAACAGGTGGAACTCACTGACATTGTACCCATCCCAGGACATGCAGGATTGTATCGTGGGAAGATCATTGATGAAAGTGATAGAAAACTTGTGCTTGACAAAGCAAAGACTCTATAGGGGACAGAATATGACAGAGTGTATATCAGAAGGGACCTAACTTATAACCAGAGATGTGCCCTTAAACTTCGCAGAGATGCCTACCACTCTGAGCGGAACCAGCAGGCTCCAGCAGTGACCCCCAGTGATCGCCCTGCTCCTTCACAGGAGCCTGGTGCTGCGGGACCCGAGCATCCTGCTCCTCGGCAGGGCCCTGGTGTGTCAGGACCCTCCTTGCATAGCGCACAGGCTGGCGCTGCTGGTGACCCTCCCCCGGCTGATCTACCTCCAGACAGGACGGGGGAGAGCGTGAGGGGTGAGAGCTCCTCTGCCTCTGCCCCCAGGGAGCTAGCTGCGGCTGCTGCACCAACCGTTCCCACTTCAGGTCTGACTGGACCCAACCCAGAACTCTCCCAGTCAAACTAGGTAGATGTTCTCCCAGTCTTGGTGTTGATGTTCTCACAATGTGCCTGACAAATTTGAATGGTCTCACATGTGCCAAACGTGGTAACCTTGCTGAGTTCATTTCTAAAAGAAATGTGAAGATTGTGGCTGTGACTGAAACCCATCTCATTCCTTGTATCAACAGCGCCTCGATTGCCATCCCACAGTATGATATCCTTAGAAATGATGTGACTGGTACCACACAAAAACATGGTGTCTGTGTGTATGTGCATCATGATATTAATGTGGATAGTGTCTCGTGCCCAATGACAAATGTTCTGGTATTTCGTTTGACAAAGTACAATGTTTATGTAATTGTGGTCTATAGGCCTCCTTCCTACACTCAAGTTCAGAATGAGGAGCTCCTTTCCTTGCTTGATGACACTGTTAGAGACAGGGAGGCTATTGTCATAGGAGATTTTAATCTGCCAGGAATAACCTGGAACTCACATGTCTATGGTCTATCCAACCAGGGCTCTCCCATGGAGAGACAGTTTGTTGACGCTTTTAATCTTCTTGGTCTAACCCAGTGGGTAACTGATGTCACTTTTCCCAGATCTGGAAATACACTGGACCTGCTTCTCTCAACTGAACCTGATCGTGTTGGTGACACACATGTTGAACCTCCGTTTCCTGGCTCTGATCACTGTTCAATCGTTTTTGATTATGTCTTTGAAGTACAAAATGTGTTAGATGATAAGGTCCCAAGCAGAATGTTGTGGCACAAAGGTAACTATGCTAAACTAAGTCACTTTCTGAGTCTGGTGGATTGGGATTATGAGCTTGCTTACTTAAACAGCTGCCAGTCATTCAACAGGTTTATCTCAATTGTTAATGACTTGGTAAAAGACTGTGTTCCATGCAAACCGCCGGCCCCTGGCAAAACCAGCCCGCCGTGGCAGGTACGCCCTCCCGCTGATCTTGTTTCTCGGCGACAGGAAGCCTGGACCAACTATAAAGCTGTTCGCCGTCGTCTTGGCAGGCGTTCAGCGGCTGCAACTGAGGCCTACATGGCCTTCTCAGGTGCTAATCGACGATGCCTTACTTTTTCAGCACGATCTCAGTCCAACTACGAGGACAGCTTGGTGGATGACTGGAGAGAAGCCCCCAAACTATTACATGCATATGTTCGATCTAAGAAATCAGCACCTGTTACTGTCGGACCCCTTAGGTCTGATGACGGCCAAATGTGTACTGATCCCCTGCAGATGGCAGAATGCTTGGCGGGAGCTTTCAGCTCGGTGTACTGTTCTAACATTCCTCAGGTCCAAGAAAGACACCAAATCAGTGATAACTTGATACCTCCCTTAACCATTTCTCAGGATGACGTCAAGGCACTGTTGATCAGTATTGATGGTAGCTCTGCGATGGGCCCGGACGAACTACATCCCTTAGTACTTAAACAATGTGCCAATTTCATTGCTTATCCCATATATGTCATTTTCTCACGCTCGCTGAGGGAAGGTATTGTGCCTGGAGCATGGAAGAACTCGTGTGTTATTCCAATTTACAAGAAAGGGAACAGATACGACCCGCTGAACTATCGCCCAATCAGCCTTACCTCTGTGTGCTGTAAGACAATGGAAAGACTGATTTGCAGGCATATTACAGGATTCCTAGAGGAGCACAATATATTATCTGACCACCAGTTTGGTTTCAGATCAGGTCGTTCCACTACAGACCAGCTTCTATTAGTCTATGAAGAAGTGTCTAGATGTGTCGACAATGACAGACTCGTTGACGTCGTGCTATTTGACTTCTCCAAGGCCTTTGATGTTGTCCGACATGAGATCCTGCTGACGAAGCTCCGCAGTGTTGGTATCCATGGAGATTTGCTCAGGTGGATAGAACATTTCCTAACTAACCGATTGATGCAGGTGAATGTCAGGGGCCGCCTGAGCAGACCAAGGCAGGTCACGAGTGGCGTTCCCCAAGGTTCAGTATTAGGCCCGCTTTTATTTCTCATTTATATCAATCACATTGCGTACAAATTGAAGTCCAGCTTTAAGATATTCGCTGACGATCTGAAGATCTATGCTAGTACTGATAGGAGACACTCACTTACGCAAGGCGAATATGAAACACAGGTACAAACAGACATAGACACTCTTTACAACACGTCTATCTCTTGGGGCTTACGAATCAATACTGACAAGTGTGCCGTCCTACGATTTTCCAGGGGACGGGACACTCCGCGAGCACACTACACCCTCAACGGACGTCGTCTGCCCACACCCACTTCACACGGTGACTTGGGGGTGATCGTAGACACTTCACTGAAGTTTCACGAACACGTTGATTGCTTATCACAGAGGGCCTCTGGGATTTGCCACAGCTTCCTTCGAGCTCTTGCTTCCCGTTCCCCGAAGTTAATGATATTTCTCTTCACAACCCATATCCGGCCCGTTCTTGAATACGGCTCGTGTCTATGGCATACGGGATTCGTTGGCGACATGCGTAAGTTAGAGCGCATTCAAAGGCGATGGACGAAGCGTGTACAAGGTCTCCGCGAGCTTACTTACGCCGAGAGGTTGAGTGAACTAGGACTGTACTCGATTCAGGGACGCTTGATAAGAGCGGACCTTATCCAATACTGGAAGATTTTCCATGGAAAGAGTCACATAATGCCGCAGTCCATGTTCACTCAGCCCCAGACCGGCACTCGAGGCCACGCCTTTAAGATCACTGTCGCTCACGCCAACACAGACATAAGACAGCGCTCGTTTTCAAACAGATGTGTGCATCTCTGGAACAGCCTACCACCAGATGTTGTTAATGCCCCAGACCTTCAGTCATTTAAACATGGATTAGTTGGAGCTATTCCGGATAGACTTGTCGAGTATATGTAAGTTGTATGATGAACACTTTTTTACTATTCGCTATTCTATTGTAAAAACACGATGTAGTCAATGTTAGTCTAAATGGTGGCGCAACACTCCAGTTATGTGCGTGTATGCTATGACGATTTATCCTGAGATTGTCAACTGGCGCGCCATATGAAGCAGGGTTCCTCCCGTCCTTCCATCCATCGAGCCTTTTCCTTGCCGACTGGTGGTAGTGGATGGAACCCGACAAGGTGAGTTGACAAGGTGAGTTGGTTCTGTTTACCTTATAATTAGCACATTTTCCACAAGCGTAAACTGCATTACACGTAATTACCTAAAAAGGTCATTAGTGGTGAATGAACCTGACTTGTTTTGTGACAGAATATGTAAAACATTTCAATAAATAAATTGTGTGCCCTTCCACACCCTAATTGTGGGCATTTGATGACCATTTCTTGGAATAATATAGGTGTCCCTTAACACCCCACATTGGGGTGCTAAGGGACAGTGATGAAAAATAATAAAAAATAATATGCAGGCATAAATTTTAAAAACTTTAATGTGGCAGGCATGTAAAGCACCAAATTCCACATAAAATGCTGACAATTTGATGCTTCTATCTCCAACCCTTCTTGAGTTATATAACAAAACACCTCAAAACTGTCCCTTAACACCCCGTTTTACGGTGCTTCTGGATAGGATTTCATAACTTACAGGAAGTGCACATGAAGAACTTTTAGAACCTTTACACTTTATAGGCAAAAGATGATGCAGGGCAGAGAAATCTCATGATTTTTGGACAGGCCATCAGGCCATCTTACACATATGGTAATTTAATTTAGAAGGAATAGACAATCAACAGTAATAATATTTTTAGCATATTTAATTTAGTGAAGGTTATTTGTTACTCAAGTTGTAAATTACTGAAATGCACGTAGGTACTTAATTCCCTGCCAACTGATTTGAGGTATCTGCTCCAACCAAACTCAGAATATCTTCATAGTTAGGTAATGATTTTCTTAGTTCACACAGTTAATTGTGATACCTATGTCTGCAATGGGTAATGCTAGAATATGACAAGAAGGTGTGAAGTCATATGAATTGCAACATTGGAGCTTCGATTTCCATTATTGCTTGTGTGTTCTGTTTATATATCCATAACCATTAGTAATGTGCCAAGCCAATTAGATGCTTACAGGTCTGTGTTTCATGAAGGGCTAACAATATTTTGTGAATTGTACAATTTACTTCTACAATAGGTAATTGTAGGATGCAATTGACTCATGCCATTGCCCACTTATTTTCTCTGAGAAGTTCAACTCATGATTCTCTCCTCAAATTTATGATGGAGAGCACCTACCTGAAAGGTTCTCATTTAATGAAAATTATTATTTTTGCTAAGATATCAATTATTTTTGTAACTAACCTCAACCCTAATTTATTATGCATTCTGCAGAATCTTGCTCCATGAATTGGTACCTATGTGTTAAGTTCAATGGCCTATGGTGCTTCTTTTGTTTTTTTATGCATTACTTGGACATAAATACACAATGGATAATAATTGTAGCATATTGTGTAGGCTACCTAGGTATATTTGAGTTGTAAATGTACGCTGCAGTTTTGTGTTTGAACTGTACATGCAAGTCATAGCACTATCTGAGTGCTTAAAGCTCACTGATAAGCTCACTGAAGCTCAATGAAAACTGCTATCTTTGATTTTTGAATATTTTGGATATGAGCCCAAAAATAGAAGAAGTATGTTTTTATATAATAGCCAAAAAATCCTATTTTTTGAAGCTTGAAAACGAACAAAATATATGTCATAGTCCCTTCGGTCTTCCAAGGAGAAAAATCACTGAGTTCTAGTGCTATGAATTCTGAATTGTAACCATGCTTTGTTACAGCTGGCACCATGACCCAAGACAGCTAGACATGGCTTGACAACCAAGCAATCAACACTGCTGCCATGCCCATCAGTAACCAGGATTTCATCTCCACCCCTAGGAAATATCACAGCCTCCCTCGTCAATGCAAACCCTGCAATGCTCAGGCGCAGGTCAGTTGGATTGTCTTTGGTCTGGCTGGTTCGAGTTTGATCGAAAAATTGGTCTTTTCGCAGAATTTTCCCACTATTACTTTTTTATTCTAAGGCCAGCTTCAGGTTTTTCAAGCAGAGTAAAATAAGGACTTGTGTGAGTTATTAACACACTCAAAGGCAGGAGTGCTGCAGCTGTTGTTTTGGATTTTTCCAGTGGTTACCTGTGCTGATAGTTGAGACAATATCGACACCTTTTTTTTAAACCCCACATCTGCTCTCCCGTGAATTTCCGGGAGGCACGAAAGATCTCCTTTTAAAAGTGTCCAATCGTCCGATCCTGATCAAATATGTGTGTTCTTAAGCCTGTTCTGGTATTGCTTTATCTGCCAAGACAGACAAACTTGAGAAAAATTGAGTGATTGTACCTTTTTTGAAGGTCTCTAACCAACTTGTCTGAAATTCACCGGAGAACAAATGTGGGGTTTAAAGGGACTATCCCACCTTCTAAAATGTTGTTAAAACCAGTTAAATTGTGCCCGACTTTATAGATTGGATGACCAGGAACACGGTTCTGGCATTTATTTTTCATTAAACATCTTAGGCTTCCCATATTCCAAACACAAACTTTCAAATATGTGACGTCACAGCCCAAAATTACCTGCTTCCCCAGGCCACATTACTGTCATAAAGCTGATTCTTTTTACTCTGTAGGCACCACAACAAAGTTCAGACCAAGTTTTAAGCGATTTTTCAACGAACAAACCCATTTAAATCAGAATGACTAAACGAGGTGACGTCACACTAACGGTCGCTCCATGTTGAAGATAGGGCCTTGTACAAGGCCCATTTTCAAATGAAGGGAACGAATTTCTTCAACACCGAGAGGCCGCGGGGGTTGCAACCTAGATAGATAGTGGTTTCTGAACCTCGCCGCAAACTTGACTATCTCAACTCAAACCCCATGTTAAAGGTGGGATAGTCCCTTAAAAAAAAGGTGTCGATATGTGGGTGGTGATCAGTAATCACCCCGTATAATTTGTGCATTTCAGGGGATATCTCCTCGCCTGTTGTGCGTTCGTGACTTTCGAATCAAGCTGAATGCATTTCAAGTCTGGTTCCGCGACTTCGATGATGAACAGAAGAACATTGTTCTTCAGGAACTCATGGTATGTTAGTAGGACATCTGCCTGTCACCTGTGATCTCACTGTGAGTTATTATTTTAGTTTTGGTCATGAACAGCTGCTTTAGCCATTTTTTATGTGCAGAAGTGAGCGTTTGAACGAGAACGCCGTTGAAAATCGATAGCTTTGTTGCGTCAATTTCCTTACATTATTCATGCACTATTTTTCTAAACAAGCGTAATCTGCACCGGCACCCATGCGCCCTGCCGATGCCCCACGGCCCACTGGCCCCACCGAGCGACCTCTCCCCTCTCAGGGCCTGTGCGGTCCAGCGCAGAACCACCTGCTGTCAGTGCGGCTGCAGAACTCTCTGCACGAGCGGTGTCCACCCAACTGCCAGGACCTGCTGTCGTGGCTGCCGGCGCACGTGGTCTCCAAGGTGCTCTCCTACCTGGATCCGGTCAGCCTGGCACGCTGCTCGGCCGTCTGCAGGTGAGTCACGCTGAACTGGTGGTGGAGCGTAGAGCTCAGTCCACCGAATACTGAGGTATTCACATACAGAGGTCTATAATACATAGGAATGACGAAAAATAACAGATTGTAGTATGTCATGAGACTGCTATCTTACTATAATCGGTAGATAAAATTGGTCGTCGGAGGCGATAGAAAAGAGCACAAGTTTCACCGATCTCATAGTTTTGTTTTCGATTTTATCGACGTATTATCTACACTGATGGCTAGCTGATGCAGACAATGTGGCTTCTGCCTAAGGCGCAGACCATGTTATCACTGTAAATGGTGCTAATTATAGCTAAGAGTTAACCCGCGCACCGACGGGGGTCTGCGCCAACTTAGTACCAACGGGGGGGGGGGCGGATGACCGCCCCCCCCCTGAGATCTCGAGAACGAAGCAAGATAGCGACAAGCGGTAAACGGCATCGGATACGCACGGACAAGGTCTACAATTTTTACTAAGGTCATTTTCAGGTCAGGTCAAAGATGACGTCACAGGGGTCGAAAAAGTCAAAATGGCGGCGCTAGATATGGAGAGGGTTTTTCTCGAATAACTTTCGAAGTAGTCAAGAAAGGAACAAACTAAGGGCATCATCGTGATCCTCTCGTCGATCCGCATCGAATGATATATATGTTGACCTCGAAAGGTCAAGGTCAAAGGTTGACCTCAGGTCACGTGACCTCGAGGTCATCATGTATATCATTCGATGCGTCTTGACGAGCTGAACACAATGAGACCATCCGCGCGGCTGTATCTTGTTCCTGTAAGGAGTTATTGGCAAAAAACCTTTGGTGACCTTTGATGACGTCACATGACCTTACAGCTGCCCAACAGCAAAACAGACCTCAAGGTAGTGAAGGTTGATCGTATGTGAAGTCATGTATGGTATATGGGGCCATTCCGACCCGTTTTAGTGGTAAAAACAGGGAGTTGATTTTTCCCCCATTGACTTATAATGGGGAGGTCGCGAAATTGACCTGACCTTAGGTCACCGACATCAAAATTCCGAGATATACAAATTGTAGCTACTAATGACCTAATAACATCCTGCGACTTTCAAAGGCCTCCGACATCTACTGTAGCTCTGGCACGGTGACAAAGTTGCAAAAAAGTGACTTGAGGTTGGGTCATTCAAAGTGACCTGGTGACCTGACCTTAAAAGTTAGGAGGTTCAAACTTGCACACCATGTGTAAAATTGATGAGAGAATAGTCATACCAAATTTCGCGGCGCTACGCGCCGCGGTTTTCCCGCTATCCGCGAAAAACCTCAGGGGGGGGGGGCGGATATCCGCCCCCCCCGTCGGTGCGCGGGTTAATCTCTACGATATAGCTGACATCGTTAGATCACCTTATACCGTATCTTGACTCCGCTGATTACCAACGGCTGCCGGAGCTCGGCTGCGCGACCCCCTGTGACTCCGCCGCTCCGCTCTTTGGGCAGGCAGTGGCGTGTGCTGGCCGGCGGCCGGCTGCTCTGGCGCCGACTGTGCGCCCTCTCCGAGTGGCAGGTGTCGCCCGAGACCCACCGCAAACAGGTGGCCGAGTTCACCGACGCCGACGGCAGGGTCAACTGGAAGGAGGTGAGGTGGAGAGGGAGACGGGGCGGAGGGTGCTGGGAAGGAAGTGGAGGGGCTGGATGGGTGAGGTGGGCGGAGTGTGTTGCAGTTCTGTATAACTGGATGTAATCAGCTGTAAGCATTGGCTTTGTTTGGCTCGTAACTAATGAAATTTAAGCCCACCGACGATCAGGTGCTATCGTTGCGCGCTATTTAATCTTTGTATGAAGTTTTTATTTTTGTAGCTAAAATCTGCTCACCTTCCACAACATGTGCATTATGCGCGTAGATCATTTCTCCCTCTTTATCATAATAATCAGGGCTATGACACCTCACTAAACCTCCAGCTGCCAGAAGCCCATCTGGAATTACTAACTGACAACCGTCACCCCCTGTTCTGCTTACTGCAGGTGTTCATCCAGCGGTACCGTCTGCGGCGGAACTGGCTGCAGGGCCACTGTCACGTGCGCACGTTCGAGGGTCACGGCCAGGGCATCTCCTGTGTTCAGTTTGACGACACGCGCATCGTCAGCGGCTCACACGACAACAGTATTAAGGTAAAGTCGTCCGTGCAATGCGCAGTGACCGCGGCGACGTATTAGGGTGGAAGGGTGGGTGGACGGGATGTTCTGGATATGAGTGGTATAGGATAATGCATCGATGTATGAGTTGCCTGCAGTTGATGAATTTAACTTGGTCATTGATTATTGTGTGCGTGCAGCTGCGGCAACCCATTCATAACATTTATATCCATGTTGCTGATACGGATATAGGTACCTCCTTAACCCTATTCCTGGCGGGGGGGGGGGCCTCAGGAGCCCCCCTGAGGTTTTTTGGTTATTTCTCCCAAACGCGTTGAGCTAGGAAGCTCAAATTTACTGACTTTTCCTAAAAGGCTTCTACGCAACATGTCTGAAAATTTTGAGTTGATCTGACCTCAGGTCAGGTCACCAGAGGCGGTTTGGTGACCCTACCTCAGAAAAGTTTGCAATCACGCCAGAGCTAGAGTTTTTGACCGATCAATTTCTTCTCTTCAGGCTTTAGTTAGGGTACCAGTATGTGCAATTTGTATATCTCGGAATTTTGATATCGGTGACCTAAGGTCAGGTCAGTTTCACGACCTCCCCATTATAAGTCAATGGGGGAAAAATCAACTCCCTGTTTTTACCACTAAAACGGGTCGGAATGGCCCCATATACCATACATGACTTCATATACGATCAACCTTCACTACCTTGAGGTCTGTTTTGCTGTTGGGCAGCTGTGAGGTCATGTGACGTCATCAAAGGTCACCAAAGGTTTTTGGCCAATAACTCCGTACAGGAACAAGATACAGACGCGTGGATGGTCTCATTGTGTTCAGCTCGTCAAGACGCATCGAATGATATACATGATGACCTCGAGGTCACGTGACCTGAGGTCAACCTTTGACCTTGACCTTTCGAGGTCAACATATATATCATTCGATGCGGATTGACGAGAGGATCACGATGATGCCCTTAGTTTGTTCCTATCTTGACTAATTCGAAAGTTATTCGAGAAAAACTCTCTCCATATCTAGCGCCGCCATTTTGACTTTTTCGACCCCTGTGACGTCATCTTTGACCTGACCTGAAAATGACCTTTGTAAAAATTGTAGACCTTGTCCATGCGTATCCGATGCCGTTTACCGCTTGTCGCTATCTTGCTTCGTTCTCGAGATCTCAGGGGGGGGGGGCCGAATCGGCCCCCCCCCGCCAGTTTCTTGTCCCGGCGGAGCCCGCCAGGAATAGGGTTAACTTTCTTCAGCTTAGAATCAAGAAGACACGCCATTGGCTTGACCAGCTTGAAGTTAAGCCAGAATGACGAACTTTTTCTGGCCGATACTGTCGCTAGTCGACATACTGTTGCCGACCCTGAGCGCCTGTTTGCAGGTGTGGAACATCCGCACCAACTCTCCGTGGTCGGTGATGACGCTGTGTGTGTGTTCTGCTGACGGTGAGCGTCTGTTTGCAGGTGTGGAACATCCGCACCAACTCTCCGTGGTCGGTGATGACGCTGTGTGTGTGTTCTGCTGACGGTGAGCGCCTGTTTGCAGGTGTGGAACATCCGCACCAACTCTCCGTGGTCGGTGATGACGCTGTGTGTGTGTTCTGCTGACGGTGAGCGTCTGTTTGCAGGTGTGGAACATCCGCACCAACTCTCCGTGATCGGTGATGCACTGTGTGTATGTTCTGCTGACGGTGAGCGCCTGTTTGCAGGTGTGGAACATCCGCACCAACTCCCCGTGGTCTGTTCTGTCACTGTATGTTCTGCTGACGGTGAGCGCCTGTTTGCAGGTGTGGAACATCCGCACCAACTCTCCGTGATCGGTGATGCACTGTGTGTATGTTCTGCTGACGGTGAGCGCCTGTTTGCAGGTGTGGAACATCCGCACCAACTCTCCGTGATCGGTGATGCACTGTGTGTATGTTCTGCTGACGGTGAGCGCCTGTTTGCAGGTGTGGAACATCCGCACCAACTCCCCGTGGTCTGTTCTGTCACTGTATGTTCTGCTGACGGTGAGCGTCTGTTTGCAGGTGTGGAACATCCGCACCAACTCCCCGTGGTCTGTTCTGTCACTGTATGTTCTGCTGACGGTGAGCGCCTGTTTGCAGGTGTGGAACATCCGCACCAACTCTCCGTGGTCGGTGATGACGCTGTGTGTATGTTCTGCTGACGGTGAGCGCCTGTTTGCAGGTGTGGAACATCCGCACCAACTCCCCGTGGTCTGTTCTGTCACTGTATGTTCTGCTGACGGTGAGCGTCTGTTTGCAGGTGTGGAACATCCGCACCAACTCCCCGTGGTCGGTGATGACGCTGTGTGTTCTGCTGACGGTGAGCGCCTGTTTGCAGGTGTGGAACATCCGCACCAACTCCCCGTGGTCGGTGATGACGCTGTGTGTGTGTTCTGCTGACGGTGAGCGTCTGTTTGCAGGTGTGGAACATCCGCACCAACTCCCCGTGGTCGGTGATGACGCTGTGTGTGTGTTCTGCTGACGGTGAGCGCCTGTTTGCAGGTGTGGAACATCCGCACCAACTCTCCGTGGTCGGTGATGACGCTGCTGGGCCACTCCGGCACCGTGCGCTGCCTCCACTTGCTGGAGAACCGGCTCGTCTCCGGCTCCACCGACACCACCATCAAGGTGAGGTGTGCGGGACACGGCGCTCTACGCGACGATAACGGTTCGGGAGCTCGTTGGGAGAAGAGAAAAGGTGTTTGGATTTGCTAGAATGTAGATTGTAGTTGGCATTTTAGCTCTCTCCATATTATCAACAGTCATGGGTCAATCAGTTATTCGCTTGTGTGAATTACGTCTTGAAGATTCGCATTGCGTATATGTATAATCTGACTACTTCCTGAAGCATAGCTGCTTGTTGGGTGGTTCGATCATGTACTCTTATGTATCGACCGCTCAACTTTCTTTCCTTCAGGTGTGGGACCTGTCTTTCCAGTGGTCCAGTATCGCCTGTAAGGTCACCCCTCCCCTCCCTGTTCCTCAGGTGTGGGACCTGTCCACCCAGCTGAGCAGTGGTCCAGTATCGCCTGTAAGGTCGCCCATCCCTGTCCCTCAGGTGTGGGACCTGTCCACCCAGCTGCAGTGGTCCAGTATCGCCTGTAAGGTCGCCCTCCCTGTCCCTCAGGTGTGGGACCTGTCCACCCAGTGGTCCAGTATCGCCTGTAAGGTCACCCATCCCTGTCCCTCAGGTGTGAGACCTGTCCACCCAGTGGTCCAGTATCGCCTGTAAGGTCACCCCCCCCCTCCTGTCCCTCAGGTTTGGGACCTGTCCACCCAGCTGCAGTGGTCCAGTATCGCCTGTAAGGTCGCCCTTCCTGTCCCTCAGGTGTGAGACCTGTCCACCCAGGTGGTCCAGTATCGCCTGTAAGGTCGCCCTCCCTGTCCCTCAGGTGTGGGACCTGTCCACCCAGCTGCAGTGGTCCAGTATCGCCTGTAAGGTCGCCCTCCCTGTCCCTCAGGTGTGGGACCTGTCCACCCAGTGGTCCAGTATCGCCTGTAAGGTCACCCATCCCTGTCCCTCAGGTGTGAGACCTGTCCACCCAGTGGTCCAGTATCGCCTGTAAGGTCGCCCTCCCTGTCCCTCAGGTGTGGGACCTGTCCACCCAGCTGCAGTGGTCCAGTATCGCCTGTAAGGTCACCCATCCCTGTCCCTCAGGTGTGAGACCTGTCCACCCAGTGGTCCAGTATCGCCTGTAAGGTCACCCATCCCTGTCCCTCAGGTGTGGGACCTGTCCACCCAGTGGTCCAGTATCGCCTGTAAGGTCACCCATCCCTGTCCCTCAGGTGTGAGACCTGTCCACCCAGTGGTCCAGTATCGCCTGTAAGGTCGCCCTCCCTGTCCCTCAGGTGTGGGACCTGTCCACCCAGCTGCAGTGGTCCAGTATCGCCTGTAAGGTCACCCTCCCTGTCCCTCAGGTGTGGGACCTGTCCACCCAGCTGCAGTGGTCCAGTATCGCCTGTAAGGTCGCCCATCCCTCTCCCTCAGGTGTGGGACCTGTCCACCCAGCTGCAGTGGTCCAGTATCGCCTGTAAGGTCACCCTCCCTGTCCCTCAGGTGTGGGACCTGTCCACCCAGCTGCAGTGGTCCAGTATCGCCTGTAAGGTCACCCCTCCCTTTCCTTCAGGTGTGGGACCTGTCCACCCAGCTGCAGTGGTCCAGTATCGCCTGTAAGGTCACCCATCCCTGTCCCTCAGGTGTGAGACCTGTCCACCCAGTGGTCCAGTATCGCCTGTAAGGTCGCCCTCCCTGTCCCTCAGGTGTGGGACCTGTCCACCCAGCTGCAGTGGTCCAGTATCGCCTGTAAGGTCACCCATCCCTGTCCCTCAGGTGTGAGACCTGTCCACCCAGTGGTCCAGTATCGCCTGTAAGGTCACCCATCCCTGTCCCTCAGGTGTGAGACCTGTCCACCCAGTGGTCCAGTATCGCCTGTAAGGTCACCCATCCCTGTCCCTCAGGTGTGAGACCTGTCCACCCAGTGGTCCAGTATCGCCTGTAAGGTCACCCATCCCTGTCCCTCAGGTGTGGGACCTATCCACCCAGTGGTCCAGTATCGCCTGTAAGGTCACCCATCCCTGTCCCTCAGGTGTGGGACCTATCCACCCAGTGGTCCAGTATCGCCTGTAAGGTCACCCCCCCCCCTCCTGTCCCTCAGGTTTGGGACCTGTCCACCCAGCTGCAGTGGTCCAGTATCGCCTGTAAGGTCGCCCTTCCTGTCCCTCAGGTGTGAGACCTGTCCACCCAGGTGGTCCAGTATCGCCTGTAAGGTCGCCCTCCCTGTCCCTCAGGTGTGGGACCTGTCCACCCAGCTGCAGTGGTCCAGTATCGCCTGTAAGGTCGCCCTCCCTGTCCCTCAGGTGTGGGACCTGTCCACCCAGTGGTCCAGTATCGCCTGTAAGGTCACCCATCCCTGTCCCTCAGGTGTGAGACCTGTCCACCCAGTGGTCCAGTATCGCCTGTAAGGTCGCCCTCCCTGTCCCTCAGGTGTGGGACCTGTCCACCCAGCTGCAGTGGTCCAGTATCGCCTGTAAGGTCACCCATCCCTGTCCCTCAGGTGTGAGACCTGTCCACCCAGTGGTCCAGTATCGCCTGTAAGGTCACCCATCCCTGTCCCTCAGGTGTGGGACCTGTCCACCCAGTGGTCCAGTATCGCCTGTAAGGTCACCCATCCCTGTCCCTCAGGTGTGAGACCTGTCCACCCAGTGGTCCAGTATCGCCTGTAAGGTCGCCCTCCCTGTCCCTCAGGTGTGGGACCTGTCCACCCAGCTGCAGTGGTCCAGTATCGCCTGTAAGGTCACCCATCCCTGTCCCTCAGGTGTGAGACCTGTCCACCCAGTGGTCCAGTATCGCCTGTAAGGTCGCCCATCCCTCTCCCTCAGGTGTGGGACCTGTCCACCCAGCTGCAGTGGTCCAGTATCGCCTGTAAGGTCACCCTCCCTGTCCCTCAGGTGTGGGACCTGTCCACCCAGCTGCAGTGGTCCAGTATCGCCTGTAAGGTCACCCCTCCCTTTCCTTCAGGTGTGGGACCTGTCCACCCAGCTGCAGTGGTCCAGTATCGCCTGTAAGGTCACCCCTCCCTGTCCCTCAGGTGTGGGATCTGTCCACCCAGTGGTCCAGTATCGCCTGTAAGGTCACCCCTCCCTCTCCCTCAGGTGTGGGACCTGTCCACCCAGCTGCAGTGGTCCAGTATCGCCTGTAAGGTCACCCCTCCCTCCCTGTCCCTCAGGTTTGGGACTTGTCCACCCAGCTGCAGTGGTCCAGTATCGCCTGTAAGGTCACCCCTCCCTGTCCCTCAGGTGTGGGACCTGTCCACCCAGCTGCAGTGGTCCAGTATCGCCTGTAAGGTCACCATGGTCGGACATGGCGACACGGTCCGCTGCGTTCAGGTGAGACCCCGCTTCTCGTGCTGGACGAACGCCGAATTTATGTCCGTGGATAGTGGGCACGGTGAGGGCGCAGAGACCTGCGACCTGTGACCAGCGACATTCTGGAGGGCCTGCTGCTATTTTTGTAACGCTACTGGCTACTGCCGCGGATAAATCAAAGCGAACAATGAGTAAGGCTAGAGTGAGATTTAAAGTAGGACTGCGGAGTGGGAGACGCGGAGGGATGCGGAGATGTGCCTGAATGTGGGGAGGAGGCGATAGGGCGCTAGGAGGAGAGTTTTGGAGTCGTGGTAGCGTTGTTACGACTCCTACTCTAACTCTGAAAATCCTGGCTCTAACTGTTTTTGTCCTCCATCTTTAACACCCAACTCAAGAAGACGGCGGCGCCGCCGTCTCCGTCTCCGACCCTCACCTAACGTCTCCCATCCGTGTCCGTCTCTGCCCTCACCTAATGCCTCCGGCCTCTCTCCGTCTCCGTCTCCCACCTTACGCCTCCTGCCCGTCTCCGCCTCAGATGGACGAGGAGAAGGTGGTGAGCGGCTCGTACGACCGCACACTGCGAGTGTGGTGCGTGCGCTCTGGCCGCTGTCAGGCCGTCCTCACCGGCCACACTGGGCAGATCCTCTGTCTGAGGTTCGAGCAGCTCCGGCTGGTCAGCGGCGCCGCCGATAAAACAATAAAGGTGAGCAGTGGGTGAGAGGAGGAGTGAGAGGGTGAGACCGGGACTAGGGTGTGATGAGGGGTAGGCGATGATATTTTTGCCATATTTTTTTGTAGTGGAGTTGGTCGCTGTATGTGTGCCGGTGTGTTACCCACTGTTATAGTCTGTAGTCTGTTCCGCCCCTTCCCCATGTGTGGCCTCTCAGGTGTGCCGGTGTGTTACCCAGACTGTATCTGTCCTCCTCAGGTGTGTTCGCTTGCCGAGGGCCGGTGTGTTACCCACTGTATCCGTCTATCCCCAGGTGTGGTCCCTGTCTGAGGGCCGCTGTCTGCGGACACTGGAGGGTCACGGCGGCGCGGTGACCACGCTGACATTTGACGACCGGCGCATCATTTCTGGCTCGCTGGACTGTACCATACGGCTGTGGAACATTGACACGGGCGAGCCGCTGGCTGTGCTCGACTGGATGAAAAACGAGGGCCACACAGGTCAGAGCCGAGAGGGGCGGGGAGGGCCGGCTAAGGTGCTCTCGTCAACATTCGGTGGTCTCGTGCGTAGTACGGTGTCATCCTTTCCTTCCACACTACAATCCCGCCCTCATGCTTCATGTGGCGTCCTGTTCGGGCCGAAACCGCGCCCAACATTTAGTTGTTGCCACCCACGCAGACTGGGTCCTCGTTCTAGTCGCTGACGTTATCCATTTGAAGAGCTGGCAGCGATGCTGTCGGTCTCCAGGATCGTGTTGTATGATCTTTTTTTCGGTATATAGCTAATCCGCTACGTTTGTTTGAGTCTTCCAGACGTGGTCTTTGTCCGAGATTATTCAGTCTCGTAGAATTGTGTTCCATGGCTCTTCATCAAGGGAAACTGGTAGGTACCTCCAGTGTGACCAAATTGGTTTAGCGTTAGGGGGAGGATGTATAAAAAAGTCGTACGAGGATGTCACTATTTTCAAAAAACTCGTCTTCAGCCTCATTTTAGGTGCAGTTTTACAGACAATGTGGGAAAAAACTATACCTGACGTCAAGTTCTGGTGGAAAGTAAAAAAACAACAACAAATGTTGTCATTAAAGATGTAAAAAACGACATTGCAAGCGCGACAGTACGAGTATGATGGTGCGAATCGTACATTGGAACATTTTCAGTCTTTATTCCTACACTAGGTAGGTATGCTTTTACGACAAAAACGTCGTGATGATGTAATTTTAGAATTTCTGAGGATGTCATTATACTTTTCATTGGGGGTGACTTTCCCCGCAACATCACCAATTTGGCCATACTGGGTACCTCCAGCCTCAGACGACAAAATTTCACAGTGTCTCTATATAACCCGCCCTGTCCTGTCTAACAGGTGTGATGCAGTTTCTGTATCTGTATGTAACCTCCCCTCCATTCCTCAGGCGTGGTGCGGTGTCTGTATCTGTATGTAACCTCCCCTCCATTCCCCAGGCGTGGTGCGGTGTCTGTATCTGTATATAACCTCCCCTCCATTCCTCAGGCGTGGTGCGGTGTCTGGTGGCCGACCGGTGGCGCATCGTCTCCGCCTCGGACGACAAAACCCTCAAGGTCTGGTCTCTGGACACGGGCCAGCGGCTGGTGACGCTGCGGCAGCACACAGATGGTGTCACGTGCGTCCAGTTCAACGACTCGGTCATCGTCTCGGGCAGCTACGACAAGACGGTCAAACTCTGGGACTTCAGCGTCTGCTAGGGTCGAAATCAGCTACGACAAGACGGTCAAACTCTGGGACTTCAGCGTCTGCCAGGGTCGAAATCAGCTACAACAAGACTGTCAAACTCTGGGACTTCAGCGTCTGCTGAGATTGGCTTCTCGGGCAGCTACGACAAGACGGTCAAACTCTGGGACTTCAGCGTCTGCTAGGAGGGCATACTCTCCGCGCCTAGGTGAAAACTATCCGCGGTCAGGGGACAACTCTCCGCGCAGGCTAAGATGGGGTGGCGGTCTTGTGATGTCAAGAGTTTTTCAAGCAGCTAAAAGAGGATGGAGAAATTCAGAATCTCGCGTCAGATTTTATGAAGGTGGGATTTCAGTCTGAGTTGTTGCCAATTTTTGGAATATGGTTGTTTTGAAGGTATGGCTGCCTGCTGGTTGATGGCTTCGCTTCTGGCATGATATTGTGAAGCCAATGGTAATAGTGAAATATCATTCATGGAAAGAAAGGCCGCTTACTTACTCTGCAGCGGCAATCTAGCGCAGCTATGAGGGATATGTTTGGCAGCTAGTAAATTATACGCACTTCACCGTCTGCAAGATAGCTGCCTGGCTAAATATGAACGGCAAAGCTTTGTGGTATCTGTGTCTGTGCTGCTAGGCGCTTCTTCGTGCACTCTGGGCCGCTAGACTAGACAGCTGTGTACATGTGTTCATGTGTTGTTCGTCATTGCCACCTGATTTCACTGTTCACTAGCTCACGATCCATGTACTGATTGTTTATTGACTGTGCTCATAGGACTGTTGTCGTTTTGTGTTGTTCGCTGGTGTTCTGACCCTGCGCTGCGTTTAGTTTCGCTCAGTGAGGTGCGTCCAGTGCCTAGTGTGTTCATGTATCGTCTCCACTGTGTCAGTGGAGGCAGCTGTGTGACGTATGTTATGACGTCACTGTATGACGCAGCCGTCCTGGTGCCCGTAGTCATTGTCGAATCTCGCCAGGCCCGGCTGCTGTAGTTAGTCGCCCGCGCCGCGCGTCGGGCGACCTCCTGCCTCTGGTTCGTGTGCGCTGTACCGCTAATGTAGTCAGACAAGTGGCTTATGATGCAATCTCAGTAGTTGAACAAGGTGTGCTTCTCTGGCAGCAATAAGGGCAGCCGGCTGCGGCACCGGCGGCTGCACTGTCGCGGTATTGCCTCTGTACGGGCGCAGAACGCTGCGGCTGCGACTGGGAATGCCGATATTCGAGACTGAACGTGTTCAGAGTACCTAATAGCAATCTATTTTGTGTATGGACACAGCTGCAGGTGAATTGTTTTTAATATTTATATACAGATATTTGTTTTAGTAGGATGTTTTTAGTGACAGGAATGTGGGTCGAAGTGAAATGGAAAAATAAATAATACTCTTTTCTAGCTCCTCTAGTAAACGGCAGAGCAGTCAGCGACGTAGTCAGCGGTTCCTTGTGGTGGCGGATCGTCTCAGCTAATGCCTCCTGTTCGCTGGACGGTTCAGGAGTTCGGTCACAGAGTCTCCAAGTCGCGGGACGAAACAATGTCACGCTGTTCCCTGGCTGTATATTTCACCCCTCTGAGCGGGCTGCGTCGCCCCAGCCGGCGCCATCTCAGTTCAGCGCGTCTATCACAGTATTACCGCGGCGGCAGCCCTGAAGAGGCGAACGGCGCAAACACACACACGCAGCCGTCGTCCTCACCAACCTATCAGCTACTGAGGCGCGCATGCGCGAACAGAAAGAACAGCGCTGACTTAAACCAGGACAATCGTACGACCAAGAAACAGTTTTCCACCAGACATGATTTACAGGAGCGTGAAGAGCATGTCCCTCCTTTTTCGATATCGAAAGGCCCAAGTCAACGGAATGATATGGTGTCTCGATATATTGCACAAGGTACATACAAGTCGAGTCCGTACATATTTTATGCATAGTAAAGGTCATACTACATAGCAGCAGGCGGACTCGGTAGAAAGTAACCCAACAAAGACGAATTGCAGCGAGAGGCCTTACTATACTGCTGAGTTCCACTTCCCATACACACGATACTGTCCTCTGGCTATGTGACGACACGCCACACGCTGCTATTTAATTCATTTCCACTCATACAAGCAGCGCATTCTATGTAACCACCAGATTATGGCAGACCTCCAACATCCTGGAAGCACTCCAACACCAGCGGGCAATACAGCGGCACAAACGGCAGAGCAATGCGATCACAGCGAATACATGCTTCGAAATAGCATCTGTAATCCCAATACACGGCCTGGGCTTCAAGCCTCTCAGCTTCAATTTCGGCTAGCACGCATTTCACCACGTGTCGGCTGTCCTACAAGGGAAGAATCACGTCGACCCCACCGCCGTGATATAAGGAACCATGACACTGCATTGCTAGGATATGAATACCATCACTTTCATTGCACGCCTTTCGAAAGCACTACAAATAAAAAACAACCGGTTTACGCCTTGGTCCCGGCAGTTTTGAATGGAGGTAAAGCAACTGCGACTAGAACCCAGCAAGGAATACAGTAATGTTAAGTACCTCATTCACAACCATCGCCGGTGACTACATGCCCGGTGACTATCACATCACATAAATACTGTCCTGTTCGTATTTTCGTCCGTGTTTGGGCACCCACGCAATCATATCAGCTGCCAGTTCCAACACACCAGTAATAAACTTAAATCGACGCTGATATATAAGATAAATATTCTTCATTTCAGTTCCGCTCGGCTGAAACCGTTCAGTCTCAGCTTTGTGCTGAATGGCGTGCCATACAACAATCAGATCACATACTCATCCTGAGCAGAGACATTGCCACCACCCAGCGCTAAACGTGCGAGACTGAACGTCTTCTTCGCACCCGATACACCAATATCATTCACCTCTGATGAAGATTCAGCCACGGTTCACTTCTTTGAGAATACTGTGATTCAGCGTATCATCGTCCGTTCACCGTGCGTCCCTTCGTGGGTTCTTCTTTGTGTTCTATTTTCTTCAGAGTTTTTCGGCCGCAGCCACGACCCAGAGACCGAGCGTCTACAGACACAATGGGCGTCCCCAACGGTCGCTCTCCGGTAGCAACCCCGTCCGGCGGCGGCGACTCACAACAGTCCGAAGCCGACGTTACCCTCTCGGATGGCCAGCAGCAGGGCCCGCTCGAACTCCTGGTAGCTCACGTGGTCCGGCAGACACAGCTGGTTGAAACTGACGGAGAAACGCAAGTTTCAGTGCATAAGAGGGCACAACGTCAGTTTACTTGCAACGAAGGAACTGATATATTTAGACACATGTCAGTACAATAAGGCAACACTTCAAAAACGTTCTCCAGATTGCTAAGACCACTACTATGACATCACTTTATGAGTACTCCATAGCTAAGATGGTCTCTATTCTCCATACATTCAATTACTACGACAGCGAACGGCATAAGCAACTACCGACAATTTGTTTGTCGCTTGCCTGCACCGCCCTAAATCTCCCTCCCGTAGTGATTGACCCCAGTTACCCATCCGTCCCCGCCCCATCTCCACTCACCAGGTATGCGCCACGGGCAGCGCGCCGAACTCTGGGTAGCTGGAGATCTGAAACTTGGGCATCAGCTCAGCGAATCCGCCGGCCGGCAGTCGCGCGCAGCCGGTGGTGAACTGCAGCAGCCGGGAGCCCTCCTCCGCTGCAGGCCAGGCACACGGGTCAAATAACGGGCATACGAGGGCCAGGTCGGACAGGAAAGACAACGTCAGGTAGAGTAAAAAAGGGCCAGATAGGTTACACATAACGGTAAAGTAGTTTATATGGGACGGGAGCTCAATGGTGCGGGTCCTCAGTATTGAGGAGCAGATAGACTAACGTCCAAGAGAATAACCGCGTTGACACCATGGTACACAGCGCCGTCCCTGGCACCACTATCGACCCTAATGACCGCGAGGGCACTCACCGGAGAAGTTTTCCAGCGCCGTCCAGAACCAGCCGAGCACCTTCTCGAAGGCGGCGTTGTGGTCGGTGACGGTGTGGTGGCGGCGCAGCTCGGCAACGCTGAACTCGCTGCTCCCGCACATCAGTAACTGGGGACGGAGATATAGAGAGCGTCACAGCACACCGTCAGAGCACACTGTCACAGCACACCGTCAGAGCACACTGTCACAGCACACCGTCAGAGCACACTGTCACAGCACACCGTCAGAGCACACTGTCACAGCACACCGTCAGCATACACGGCGCAGCTCGGCCACGCTGAACTCGCTGCTCCCGCACATCAACAGCTGGGGACGGGACGGACAGAATACACAGCAGCTGGGGACGGACAGAGACAGGTCAGGATACACTGCGCACATCAGGATAGGTCTTATAAGACGAAAGCTTGGACTTATGGCGGTATTGAAACTTGACATAACTTGTCAGTTAAATTTTGACATGCAAGGACCAATGAGCTGTGAGAAATGTGCGCAGTGGGGATACGATACCTCCACAAACGATTGAACCTCACATTGAACATCAAATATCTCAATCGTACTCACAACACCCCACTGCCCTGCCACCCGATCCTAGCACCCACCTCCAATTCGTTCTCGTCAAAGATGCCGAGCAGGTTGTCGGGCACCAGGTCGTTGAGGCCGCGCAGGAAGGCGTCCACCTCCGGCTTGCAGCGGTTGGCCAGCCGGTACTGGGCCAGACACTGCAGGTACTCGAGCCGGTTCTCGGCGGTGACCGGAGTGCGCGCGCCGCCACTGCGCAGCTCCACGGTCTGAAACGGACGACCCGGGGCAGCTGGGGTCAGACGTGGAGCCACTAAAAGGATAAACAAATAAAACAAACAATATCTGTCACTTCAAAAAACATTGTTGACTGCATTTACGATGCACACGCATCGTTGATGCTCGCCATTCGCGGTCTCATTCGCTTCTGTTTATGCACAAAATCAATAAAAAAGAGCATAAATAGGTTTATATCTCACAGAACTGTCGTGCAAAGGCAAAAATACTATATTGAGTCAGAGTTTATGCTGGGTCAGAGGTTGAGCGACCCAAATAGTAGTTTTTGCCTGGAATAACTACAACATTTCTACCCAACCGCGCACTATTGTAGCATAAAAATAAAGCAGATTAACACACCCTCCGTAGCACAGTAACCGTCCCCGCCCGAGCCCTCACCTGCAGCAGCTGGCCGCGCTCCCCGAACTCCTCGTCAGTGAATGTGAGCTCCAGTTCAGCCAGCTCGTCGGCCGGACACGTCTCGATCAGCGTCACCTTGGTCCGGTACAACTCCGGGTCGTCCTGCTCGAAATGCTGCCGACGGACGAGGGGTGAGAGAGGTGAGGTGAGCGAGGAGCGAGGGAGCAGGGGTAAGGGGGAGGGAGGGGGGGGGGAATCCGGTGAACATTACAATGCCTTACGGTCGGAGCTGCAGGAAGTAGCATAAGAAGTTATGGCCGAAACTGATGGATTAGATCGTATTTGAATTTTGAAGGGCATTGAAGCGCTAGCAAAAAATAATACCAACTGGGTAATGAAAGTCATAATATTCGACACTATAAGGAAGAACACTACATGATGGCAGATTACACTAAGTCCGTTTTCCAGCCCGTTTTCCGTCCCTTACCTTGTAGGAGACGCGCAGGCCGATCAGCTGCGCCAGGAACGAGCGGGTGAAACTGGCGCGCACCAGCTGCCGCGACGCGCCGCCCTGCGCCGACTCCAGCAGGCACTTGCCCGCCACCCGGCCGGCGAACTCAAAGTGGCGCAGTCTGACGTGCTGCGGCCGGCGGGCGGCGGGTCGCGGGTGTACCAGCGCCTGGCTGCCGTTCCCCGAGTCGGCCAGCGGCGCGAACAGGCCGCCGCGCCGCTCGAACAGCGCCTCACAGACCAGCTCGAACCACTCGCGGCGCACACCGCCGTAGTCGAGCGCCTCCTCCGAGTCGAAGCGCACCTCGAACGGCCGCGTCCAGTCGCCGGTCGAGGCGCCGCGCAGCGCGTCCAGCGAGCTCTCCAGCAGCGCGGCGCGTCGCACGTGCAGCGCCAGCGGGCGGCGCGAGCGACCGGCCGCCGTCAGCTCCAGCTCGCGGTAAAAGAACCGCCGGCGGTCCGAGAACGTCTCACTACCACCGACATTCCTGAGCAGGAACAGGGTGAAGGTGGCGGCCAGCTGGTCGCGCTGTGAGAGCGTCAGCTCCACCACGGGCTGACAGCCGTCCGAGACCGTCACCGAGGGCAGGCAGGCGGTGTTCCGCTCGTTTGTGGGCGTCAGTCGGGTGCTCGGACACAGTCGGAACGTGTACAGCTTGCGCGGGATGAAGAAGAACACCGTCTCGCGGATGGTGAGCTGCTTCGGCGACACGTAGCACCAGACGTCCTTGGGCTTGTTGAGCGGCACGCCATCGACGGACGTCAGCCGCGCGGAGAACG